CACACACACACACACACACACACACACACTCACACACACACACACACACACACACACACAGTAATAGTAATGGGTAATGGGGGCAGAATAGGTCTCCTTTAGATGTAATCTAACATTGAATGTTCAACTCACTGTTTTTGTGTGGCGGCGGGGCGTCTCTCCTCAGGCTGTCGTGTGCAGGTCTGACCCGCGGAGGAATGTCTGGCACTGGATCCGGACCTGCTGGATCATCTGCAGGAGCACTGGAGCCACACACACACACAGAAGATTCATCAGTACCAGAAGAAAACCTGCGCACAACACTGATCATCCGATACAGCTTCTTCATCATGAGCGAAGACCAAGACTGAACAGAGAGAGAGCGGGACAAGTGTGTGTGTGTGTGTGTGTGTCTTCAGTCGTGTCTCTGCACGCCTGTGAGAGTTTAGAAACACCTGATACAACAGGTTTATGATAAAGATCCACCAAAACACCTGTGCTGAGAGAAGTCAGGTGAACACACACACACACTGACAGCTACACAAACTGAGCACATTAAAGGGTCAGTTCACGCAAAAAATGACATTTAATCATTTAGGAACAACTTGTACATTGTATAATTAAAGGGATAGTTCCTGCAAAAGTGAACGTTCTGTCATTAAAGGGGTAGTTCGCACACCTGTTTATTATGGAATGGTCCTGTTATTAGAGATTATTGGTCAAATTATTATTATTAATTTTATTAATTCATTCATTTTCTTGTCGGCTTAGTCCCCCTATCAATCCAGGGTCACCACTGCGGAATGAACCGACAACTTATCCAGCACATGTTCTACGCAGCGGATGCCCTGCCAGCTGCGACCCATCACTGGGAAACACCCATACACAATCATTCACACTCATACACTACGCATGTGTTTGGACTGTGGGGGAAACCGGAGCACCTGGAGTAAACCCATGCGAACGCAGGGAGAACATGCAAACTCCACACAGAAACACCAACTGACCCGGCCGAAGCTCCAACCAGCGACCTTCTTGCTGCGAGATGTCAGCACTACCTACTGAGCCACTGCATCACCTTTCAATTTCATTATTACTGTTTATTATACTTATTTTATATATTGGTAGAGAGTTTTTAGTATTTTATATATGAAGGTAGAGAGTTCATTAAATACTTCATTACTAGGGCCACACAGAATCTGCAGACGTTTTTTGGTAATTCTGCAGATAATTTTGGTAAAAATCTGTGGATTTCTGCTGAATTATTATAAACTTTAATATATGAAATAAAAATATTATCTTTTTAATTTTTTTTTAATGTTTAAAATGCAAATCCAATTAGATTCACTTTATTTGGTAAACAAAGCAAGTCTCTCATATAATATCTCTACTAAAAGACAGAAAATGTTACTGTACACACTGCATTGTCCATAAATCAGATGAACATTACTTTAAAAACTGAATAAAAATAGATTTAAACACGTATACTCAAGTAAATAATCAGAATTAAGGATGGGCTAAAAATCTGCAAAAATCAGTGTGCACAGATTCCATGTGGGCCTACTCATTACTTCAGCTTAAATGGAGTAAGTTCACAGCACTCATATAGATTTTTTTTAACTCAAATGTTTGTAGTAATCGGTTTCCTCAAACTGTTTGAGTTGCCTTAACATATTGGGTTTTACAGCACTCAGTTGGTTTGAGTTCTCTTCATTTATTGTGTTTTACTGTGCTCAAACTGCTTCTATTACTTAAATGTAGTGAGTTCACAGCACTGATTAGCATTAGATTTTGAACTTTAATGGTTTGTTGCAATCGGTTTCTTCAAATGGTTTGAGTTTTTTGGTGGGTTTTACAGTGTATATACAGTTGAAGTCAGAATATTAGTCCCCCTGAATTATTTGCCACCCTGTTTAATTTTTTTCCCAATTTCTGTTTAACGGAGAGAAGCTTGTTTTCAACACATTTCTGCACATAATAGTGTTAATAACTCATCTCTAATAACTGATTTATTTCCTCTTTGCCATGATGACAGTAAATAATATTAGACTAGTTCTTTTTCAAGACACTTCTACACAGCTTAAAGTGACATTAAAAGGCTTAACTAGGTTAATAAGGTTAACTAGGCAGGTTAGGGTAATTAGGCAAGTTGTTGTATAATGATGGTTTGTATGTGGACTATCGAAAAAAAAATGTGCTTAAAGGGGCTAATAATATTGTCCCTTTTATGGTTTTTAAAAAATTAAAAACTGCTTTTATTCTTGCTTTCTCTAGAAGAAAAAATATTATCAGACATACTGTGAACATTTCCTTGCTCTGTTTATCATAATTAAGGAAATATTCAAAAAAATAATAATTCAAAATGGGGCTAATAATTCTGACTTCAACTGTATGTGTGTATATATATATATATATATATATATATACAGGGCTCAACAATAAGGACTGCCCGATGGCCCGGGGCCAGCGTGTGAGATGCTCGGGACAGTAGACAGGATAGTTATACTAGATACTGCTTCCTTGTTACTAAAGTTTAATTTGCCTGTGACTATTTGTCAATTGCGTGCAAATAAAGTTTTAGAATTGAGAAACAGTTCGTATTTTCAAGCCTTCAAATGCTACCTTCTCAGTTCTTCTTATCTGATTGGATGTTGTGAGCACGTTATCAGTACAGTGAAGAGACAGCAACATGGCGATGACATCAAATGATGATGCTAAAGGAAAACATTTGTTTCTAACATCTTGGAAGCAGACATATACGAGGGTACACCACGACTAAAAAAAAATAAGTGATCTTTTGTACAGTTTGCCATCAGTTTGGCAGGTCTTTAGCCATGTTTTGTTTCAAAACACTTTTAATTTTGCTCATTACACATTTATTAAAAATTTTGAAATATTTAAATTCTATATATACAAACATTTTGGCACATTTTTTTTATTTGTGGCTAAGAAATTTACTTTTTTTGGTGGGGCCAGTGAAAATATTGGCAGGGCAAGTAAAAATCTGAACCACTGGTCCGATTGGGCCAGTAGAAAAAATCCTTAGCGTTGAACCCTGATATATATATATATAATTAAAGGGATAGCTCACCTAAAAAATAAACACTCTGTAACTAAAGGTATAGTTCAAGCTAAAATGAACACTTCTGTGAAACTTCTTATCACAAACGTACCATGCTTTGCCACAAAAAACCTGCAAGTAAATTTGGCCACATTCAGCCTACAGTGACCACAGGAAGTTTATTTCAGCATCTGTGCAGTGTTTGTTAAATGTTTAATGTTTATCGGACTGGAAGCACATTTCCTCGTGTGTGTTAAAGATCAGGTCCTTGTGGACGGTCAAACAATAGTGTTTCCTGCGACCCCTGCGGACCAGCGGAACTACACACCATTTATAGTCTGTTTCACAACACAAAACATCTGCTAAATACTGTGTCATGAATGAAGCCTTTGCCAACTCCTCAAAAACTCCTGGATAAGATTCAGAAGTGAAGAATTCACAGGGCACCGATGATGCAAAATCTACGTTTGTAAGCTGTGTGGACAGAACTGTGTTGTGTCTACAGTCATACTGGAGTGACAGAAACACAACAAGTCTCTTTTTTAAATCCTGATGTTAAAATAGGATCCAAGTCCCAGTGATTTTGAGGCCCATAGTGCAGTTTTCACCGAATTGATTGACAGGCATGTATTGACATGTGTCCTTAGTAACACATGTAAGATTTGCAAAGAAACTTTAAAAGTTTAAGATGTGTTCAGCTCCCTATAATCAGCCACACACACACACACACACACGTAGGTGGAGGGTGGGGTGAAGAAGCTCATTTGCATTTAAAGACACAGGCTACAGAAACAGCAACAGGTTTCTTTGAGCTCAAAATGTGCATATTCTGCATTGTGTAATAAGTAATCTGATGGGTATTTTAAGCTGAAACTTCCTGATACATCCTGCCAGAGGTCGCGTTACACTTTCTCATTGTCCGTCATTTTGACGGAGAGGGTTGTAAAATTTTTGTCATAACTTATTATTGATCGTTATTTAATTTGCAGACTTCATTCATATTTTAATAATGAACTTGCTAAATTATTCATTTATTTATTTGACAATTGAACAATAACTCATATCTGCCTGAACTCATATCTGCCTCCAGCGTCGACCTGAACTGGGTGCTTGCCTGTGCGTAATCAAATGCATCAAAGGAGACTGCGGGGGCACTCCTCTGAGTCCGGTAGTGCTCACGTTGCACTCCAACGCACCCCAGATAGCAAAATACACTCGGGCTAGTCCCGGCTAGATTATCACCTGCCGCAGACTCCGGCTGCCTTACTCGGATGCCTGTGGACTCACTGCCCGATTCCGGCCCGAGTCAATCAGGCCAGATGCGACGGCCGTAAGCGAGCTGACGCTACAGCATTAGAGCCAGAATTCGGCCTGGAGCTGGCGCCACTCTTCATATACCTTCGTATAAAACCTTTTGGTATTACATTGGTACTTGATGCATGGTATTACAACCATTTGAGCTGATATAACAGCAAACGCAGGCTATAACGTAAACACAAAGTGTAGGCACTGCGTTTAACCTTTGAATGAAATGCAAACAGCATACATATCCTATAACACAAATAATCAAACAAATAATAATAAACGTTTACTGATTGCAAAAAACAAATAATACTAAAAATTTATAAATTATTTTGTAGTGCACAAGAACGTCAACAGGAAAAACAATAAACCTGGTTGAAGTCATATCTTGCAGATCGTACTCAGTTTGTTCAAATTAAAGATTTTAAGTCAAGATCGCAGATTGTCACTACTGGTGTCCCTCAGGGTTCTGTACTGGGTCCACTCCTGTTTATCATATATCTCCTGCCTCTTGGTCCCATTTTCAGAAAATACAACATACAATTTCACTGTTATGCTGACGACACTCAACTCTACCTGTCCCCCAAGCCCACCTGTTCTTTTCCTCCTCCTGCTTTGAGCAGATGTTTAGCTGAAATAAAAATCTGGCTTTCAGCTTACTTTTTTAAATTAAACAGCGACAAAACTGAAGCCCTTCTCATCGGCACTAAAAGTGTTTTGGATAAAGCTGATCATTTCACTATAGACATTGATAACAGCACAATTTTTTCCCTCTGTGCAGGTAAAGAGTTTGGGTGTCATCTTGGATAGCACACTCTCATTTGAAGGTCACATTAATAATATTACACGTTCTGCATATTTCCACCTGCGTAAAATCACTCGTCTCCGCCCTTCTCACAC